GGAGGGAGGATGGGGCGAGGTGGCGGGGCAGACCTGAGCCCAGGTCGGTCTCCACACTCCCTTTTTTGGGCTTTTCTAACCCAAGGCTGGCGGGGCTGTACTCACACTTGGCGTGGCGGTCGCAGAGGGCAGAGGTGCGCATGTCGCAGAGCCGGATGGTGCCTTTGCTGCTGCTGTAGACGAAGGTGTTGCAGTGGTGCGGGTGGAACTCGGCGGCCGTGATCACCTCCGTCAGCTCCTCCATGTTGGCCGGCTTGATGTCCACAATGTCTGGCAGGACGAGTCAAGGAGCCCCAGGCAGCCCAGCCCAGCCCGGCTCCCCCCCCAGCTGATGTCCCTGGGCACCTGGGCGCCCCCAAACCAGGTGTTCCCAGGAGAGCAGCACCATGCTGGGGCAGAACCCCAGCACAGGGCAAAGCCAACGTCCAACACGTTTTCTGTTCAGCCGGGGACCGCAGCTCCAGTGCCGCAGCCTGGAGCCCATCTGTGCGGCACAGGACCCGGCTCTGCCCATTCACCCTGGGGCAGAATAAATACCTTCTAACTGCAGCGTCTGGGCACCATGAGTAACCCCACTGAAAACACTGACACGGAGTCAGTGGTCACTGTCATCACTTCAGATATTACAGTGAAACCCAGACACCAGCGTGGGGTGATTTACCCACTGTGCAGAGGGGGAAAAAGAAACAGCACCTTTCCTCACCCCCTGGAAACCAAATTAAGGTCCTGCTGTTCCTGGCGAGACAGGAGCTAAAAAAAAAAAAAAAAGAAAAAAAGAAAAGAAGAGACAAGTTTCTCACCAGGGTTCACAACCACTATGTGGTTTCATGGCACAGCCAGTGCTGTGGGTCCACAGCAGAACCTGGATCCCAGGTCAAGCCAGACCTGAACCCAGCACACAGCCCTGCAGGACAGCAGCCGCTGCCTCCCAAACTGCCGCACGCCGGGACGCGCTGGTGTTTGTGGAGCATTCTGACAGCTGAGAAGCAGCACAGGACCGCGCTGTGTCACGATGCCGCTGCACTCCCCGCGGGTCTGCAGTGATCCCGCACGTCTGACCCACACTAACCCTCTCATGACAGCCCCGATGCTTCGCTCCACAGAGGTCTCAAAGCCCATCAAACCCAAAGCGCCTGCGTGATGGGCACAAAATCCAGAAACACCAAACCACAGCACTGCCCCTTCCCAGCTCTCAGACAGGGACCAGATTTGGGGTTTATCGGTCAAAGTGAAAACCTGTGACATCACCTCTCTGGTGGTGACATTTCACCACCAATTCTTAGCAAGTGTTTTGGGTGCTGCACTTGCACGTTGGCCAAACTCCCTCCAGCCATCTAAGTTCCCTGAGGTCCTACTCAAATTCAGCGCTTCTCACCTTCGTCCCCAAAAAGTGACACATACTGCAGCACTGCTCAGCCGTACCTGCTCTGAGTCCCGCCAGCAACATGCCTGTGACTGCTGAAATCCTCTCCAGCTGCCTAAACTTGCCACATGCCCTGGGGATTTCTCAGCAGAAATCACTATATAAATATCACTGATGATTAGTGCCCCGTTGTTATTATTTCTGATGTGGCAGTTACAAGGGTGACTGGCACCACCTCATTTGTATGACTGTGACTGGCAGCCTGTCACCCTGCTGCAGGGCATAATGGAGACGGCACCATTAATATTTCCTCTCTCCACCTTCCCCAAGGCATCTGTCTTCTCCATCACCCGCGGACCCCCCTCCCTCCTGCCTGCCCCACGTAAACCCTGCAGGCAAAATTCAAAAAACGTGTCACCCACACCAGGAGCAGCCGCTGCGATGACGCCAGCTGAGCCCTGCACCTCAGAGGGAGCTGCTCAGCGTGATGGCCGAATATGCCCACGGGAGACAGCCCAGTGTCCTGC